CTGCCCCTTACAGACAATGATACAGAAGGTTTGAGAACAACCCCAGGGCTCTTACCATGCCGTGAGCTTCCCTCTCAGGGCTCTCTGAGCCGCCCTGGATCTCAGGTTTGGAGAGCCAGCTAGGAGCCACAGCAACACGCACCTGCACCCACGTTTTCTGGATGAGACATTGAGGCCCATACTTGCCCAGTGTAAGCAGGTGATTACAGGCAGCAGAAAATGGATATTCAAACCCAAGTCCCCTGCTTCCCAGCCAAATGCGCTTCACTGGACATCGTGCAGGCTTCCGTGAGCTCACAACAACGCCCGGCCAACACTGGCAGTCAGCACTGATACAACCAGGCTGAATCTCCAGTGGATCGTGCCAACCAAAGGGAGCCAGACGCCCGAGGCTCCCTGCCGCGTAGTTCTATCTCCAGGACAGCCAGGCAAAGGCAAATGGGAAATGTACACAGATGGGTGGTCATCAGTGGGTGCGGTGGGGGGGGGGGGGGGAGTGCCGACTGTAGTGGGGCACAGGGAAATTTTGGGGTGAGAATGTGTCCTGTATCTTGATCAGGGTGGTGGTTACACTAAATGTACACATTCGCCAAAACTCCTAGAACCCACACATTAACGAGGGCCAAATCTACTGTGTGTAAATTATACCACCATTTTTAAAAAAGCAACCTAGGGGTGCCTAGGTGGCTTAGTCAGTTGAGCATCCGACTTCAGCTCAGGTCACGATCTCGTGGTCCGTGAGTTCAAGCCCCGCGTCAGGCTCTGGGCTGATGGCTCGGAGCCTGGAGCCTGCTTCCGATTCTGTGTCTCCCTCTCTCTCTGCCCCTCCCCCGTTCATGCTCTGTCTCTCTCTGTCTCAAAAATAAATAAATGCTAAAAAAAAAAATTTTTTTTAAAAAGCAACCTAAAATAATACGTGGTGATGATAAGAATCATCACCTTCAATGCCAAAACCCAGTCTGTGTTCAGGGCCACGACGTGGAGGCCTTGGAGATGCTCTCGGTCAGAGCAGGGAGATGCCCTGCTCCTAACAGTCAGCTTCAGACACTCTTCCCAGGAGGTTTTTCAACTGCACACCCCCAAATCAGCATGCCCCAACCCCAAGCGGGCTTTGCTTCCTCTTACCTCGCAGGCAGTGAGTGGCATTGACCTGCCCCGTCGCCCTGGCCCATCGCCTGCCGTTGGGACGGCCCCTCCCTGCTGCTCCCCAGACCTCCCTGTGTCACCGATCCTGTCATTCCTCTTGCACACCTTCCCCGCCCCAGCATCGACCTGCCACGCCTGGTGATACCTGTGTGATACCTGCCCTCTGGCCTTGGGCCCCCAGCCCAGCCTGCCCAGAGCTCCTGGGGCCCTGCCACCTCCTCACCCACGGTCAGCAAGGACGCGCTCAGAGCTCCCTGACCTGGTTCAGGGACCTCCACGGACTGGCCCCAGCACACAGTTAACTCCTGCACTGCCTGCTCCCCTGCCAACTGCAGCCACAGGGCCTCTGCCCACTTGCTGCCCCCAGATCAAGCCGAGAACAGCCTTAGCACCAGAGTCTCGACCCTTAGGAGGCGTAAAGGCAAGGGAAAGGGGGGAGAACATGTCAGTGAGTCAGGCGTCCTAACATCCTAAAAACCTCAACGGCTTCCGTCTGGACGCGGCCAGCAATGGGCAATTCACTGCCCCTCGCCACCCCCCAGAGCAGCCGCTCGCCTTCCGCCAGCTCTGAAATCTAGAGCTGAAGTCTGTCCTTGCCTGTGGTCTGAATTCGCCCCGCTCCCTGCCCCAGACCCCAGAGAGCAGTTGTGTGACGACCTTGACCTCAGCCCTCCTGGGTCTTCTCTCCCAACCCGAGCTCAGGGCACACAGCCTCCCCGCCCATTTGGCCAGAGCAGAAGCCTCTCATTCTCTCTCTCTCTCATCCCCTTGCTGGGAATGGAAACCGCCCCTCCTGCCTGCGGGCTGTGGGTTCCTTGCCACGTTTGTAATAAACTCTGCCCTCCCAGGTACTCCTGAGAGGGATGTCCCTCCAGATGTGACCTCTTGGCCACTCGTCTCTGGCCACCTGAAATCACAGCTCTACTGTCTGAGGCAAAGGATTAGCCAGCAGGATGGGACCTCTCCAATAGATCCCGCAGGGCATACCTGGCATTTAGGGATAGGGACATGAATGCTGGGACTACTGGGGGCTTGCTGGGGTCACGCAGCTGGCCCTGGTGCCGAAGGAGCTCCCTAGGCCCCCACAAGTCGGGTCAAGCTGCCCCAAGGCAGGCCCTTGTCTTAGTGCTCTCTGCCCTCTAACACCTTAACACTTGTTTCGCTTGGCTGATTATTTATGGGCAGGGTCATTAATCAAACATCCTCAGACTTGCAGGCAGGTAGGAAAGGAGGCAACATCCCAAGACAAACCTCCTGTATCTGTGTCATTAGGCAAAAAAAAAAAAAAAGATTTAAAAAGATATGCTCTGCCTGGAGCAAGGGGAGCCACCCTCCTGAATATTCTAAGATCACCTGACCACCTGCCCTGAAAGGGATTTGGACTGAGGTGAGGGGAGGAGAAGGGGGTTGGGAACTCACCCATGAGGAACTCGGAGGGCGGGGCTCGGGGAAGCCGAGCACTAGCGTGAGCAGAGGGGGGCGGTGGGAAGCGGGGTGCCTCAAGTCCAGGTCCCCATTCTTTACGTTTTACAGAGGAAAACAGGCAGAAAAGGCGGTTCTTAAGCTTTCCTGAGTCTCTAAAGTCGTTGACCACGTAATCGAAGTTCTGCACCTGTAATCAAGAAAGATATACCTGCACATGTACCGCCTCTGCATACAATTTAAGGACCACTTAAACCTCCACAGAGTCCGTGGGACCCCAGGTTCTGAACCCTCGGAGGGATGGGAAGCCACGGAGATCGCGAGCGTGCTTTCCTGTCTGCACACCGTCCCAACCGGCGTATGCTCCGCTCAAGGATCCACCTGGTCCGTCGCCACTCTGAGAGCCCGTACCCCAGAAGGCCCATGTTGGGAAGAAACTGGGGTTTGCCTGGACAGTCCTGGTGTAATCCTATTACACCCCTTTTCCTATGAAGAGGGCCCTGGTTCAGATGATATCCACTAATGGTCACCCCAGAGGGAGGGAACCGTTCTGTTACCCAAGTCGGTGGGGTGGGGGAGGGCTCGTCCCCGCAGCAGCCAGACATCATCCTATCAGAGAGGCCACTAATCCATAACTAGACCCAGCCGCCAGAGGACGGCAAGAGGTTTGTCCTCGCAGGATTCAAGTTTTGCATCCCCGAATTCACTGTTGTGTGACCACTACTCGCTGATGGCCCTTTTGAGTTTCCCCAAGACTTTAGTTTTGAGTCTGTTCATACGTCTTCCCTTTCTTTGCTTTGGTTTCCTGGAGTTCTCCTGTTTTTGCACTCTCTCTCTTGAATGACTCAGAAGATGTTTACTTGAAAGCTAGTTACACAAGCCACTTGAAGCATTTTCCCCAAAGCACATCCTATGAATAGAATAAACAAACTTCAATTCTAAAATGATACTTGAGTGCATCCAAAATTGCAGTGGTTAAACTGTAATTTTCGTTGACAAAGACACAGCCACCCAGATATGCAGATTATGCCAAATTTCATCAAATCTGAATGGGAGTGGAAGGCCAGACTCGGAATGGAATATTTCGCCCCGATGACCCTAACTGCAAAGTGTTCCCTTTCTATTCCAAAGTGCTCAAACCGATGGAGCTGGAGAAGGTGTCTGAAGGTTTGAAAAAGCCCTGGAAGAAACTGATGAGTGGTCCTTGGGAGACTGATGACGAACGGGCCAAGGTGAGACCCGACGTAGCCTCAGAAGAGGGAACGCCCCACGCCCTGGACCGAGAGACACAAGACACAGAAGCCCACGGCTTCATCCGAATTCAGAGAAACTCCATCTTCAATCGCTCCGCGAGACGCAGAAGCAAAGGCAAGGCCAGAGACGCTCCTGAACAGAACACCCGCCACCCGGCAGGTCAGTACCATGGGCTGCTGGCACAGCTGTCCCTTGACACGCAGGTGAAGCCATCAGGGCTGAAAGGCCCTGATGAAAATAAAGAAGAATAAGAGGCCTTGCAACCTAGCAAGGACAGGTCCATTAAAGGAAACATTTTGAAGTTGTTACCTAAAGAATTCAAATTCCCCCAAGATGATGATGAGGGTCCTTCAGGAGAAAGTGTTGACCCAAACTGTAAGATAAGACTGGCTTCTATCGAAAAGAGACAGCTTGCTCTAGGACTCAACAGAACACCCAGATGTGCAGGCATCCCAGCAGGGAGGCTTGGAGCTGTCCACATTTGGGTGCGTCTGGGGACAGGAGTTTCCTGAGTGGTGACATCTCACCCTTGTTCTCTCACTGGTGCTGCGACGGCCAGAGCTCCTGCTGTCCTGGGAATATCTGAGATGAATACCTCGGGAATAGCTTTGCAGCTGGATTCCTTAATCTTTTAACCCAGCTCCTAGTATATCTGCCCGAAGTATATTTTATCTGCCCGAAGTGTATTTCTTGAGCAGAATGAAGCTCAGAAACTTTTACAAATGGGGGAGTTGTCAGAGCTACGACTGAAATACTATATTCGTGGAAGCTGGGTGAATGGTACATTATATTACTCTCTTGACTTTCGTGTGTGTTCGAAAATCTTAATAAATTAAAAGTTAGAAACGCACCCACACGCAAAGGAAGTTAGAGTCTCTGCCCTTGAGGGACCCACAATATTGTGATGATGTCATTCTACTGCACGTGATGCATCAAAGTTTACAAGAGAGGTAACGGCAAAAAACGAGACCCTTCTGGTGGGGTTAGGAAAGATTCGTCAAAGAAGATGATATTTTAGACGAGTCGTGAAGGGTGCATAAGGTCATGGCCAGAGAGAGAACAGGAGCTAACTTGGCTGAGCACTTGTAGGTAGTCAGTGCTAAGGGTGCCCTTACTATACCCATTTCACAGATTAAAAAAACAAAAACCCTGAAGCAAACAGAAATTGAGTCACTTACCCTAAATCACACAGCTAGTGCGTGGCCGGGCTTGAACTGGAGTTTAGATCCTTCTAGTCCCAAAGCCTGTGCATGGGGAGAAGGGGTTAGGGTGGCTCTCTCTAACAGAAATATAACGCAAGCCACATACATCACATAAAATTTTCCAGGGGCCACATTTAAAAAGGAAAAAGAAATGGCTAATATTCATTTTAACATGTTAGTGAACACCATGCATCCAAAATATTACCGTTCTATCATGTAGTCAATAATCAATAGAAAAAATTTGTAATAAGACATTTTGCATTTTTTTTGCACTCAGTCTTTAAAATCTGTTGAGTATTTTATACTTACGGCCCCTCACAATTTGCATGCTCAGTTTTCACTGGAAATATTTGATCTGGATTTAGCTTTCATAAAATGTACAGTCAGAAAAAGATTTACATATCCAGATTGTTCCAAATATCCTTAAAAGTTTTCCAATAACTGAACTGAGTATCAGTTTTTACATTTCAATTTAAACTAATTTCAGTTTTAAAAACATGAAGTATTTACTTCCTGGGTCACACCAGCCACGTTTCAAATGCGTAACGGCCACACGTGGCTGACAGTGGCCCAGGGATGGCGCAGGGTTAGAGCACGACAAGCAGACAGAAAAAGCAGATACGGCTGCCCAAGGCCAGGGGCCGGGGTCTTTCTGAGCAGAAGCAAAGGCGAGTATCTGAGGTGAGGCTGGAGAGGGGACCCAGGTCAGGGGGGAAAGAGTGTGTGGCTTCTCAAGCGCAGTCGGGAACCCTGACGCCCATGTAGACTAGAACAGGGTCACTTCACTTCTTACCATCATCGTAGCTGCCATTTACGTCCAGACCATAAGGTTTTCATCAGACTCAGAGTTGTATTTTTAAAATGACTCCCTGTTTCCCCTCCCTGCAGTTAACTCCTAAGACAGCCCAGAGCTTTCTGGTCCAGAGTCCAAGGAGAAAACGCTCCCCCTGCTCTCGCTGGGGGGAGCGCACAAGCCGGCGCGTGGCGCGGGGCTTCTCCTCCCCACACAACAAAAGAAGGCTTGTGTTCCCAGTTCCCAGTTTGTGACTTAGATGTGCGAGGTCAGCTGAATGGGTGCCCTTTCAAAGTCACACCAGAACACTGACTGACCACCCACCTACCGGCGGTCTGACGCCCCAGGGGAGGGAACTTGGCTTATTTAATATCGATTAGGACTTGCGAAGTGACGTGTTAAAAGATTGACACGTCGCAAATGATTTTTGTTCGGTAGAAACAGTAACACCAATGGTTCTGGTTTTACTGCCCTCTCAGACATTAACCAGGTTTGTATCTAAGTTTGCAATCCCATTTCCAATATTCTTTTTTCCACTGAGTGCATCTGCACGTGTGTGTGTGTGTGTGTGTGTGTGTGTGTACATGCATGTGAAGTTTCTTGCATCATAATTATAATTTTTGTAGAGATGGCGTGCCAGGTCACCAAATACGTGCAGGCCGTGGCAAATTCCCCTCCAGGGGCGAGACTGGAAGAAAGCCCTCTTCCCTCCTTCTTCCCTCCTGGGGTGAAGCTGCTACTATGCAGAGAGAATTGCCTGAAAGGGGGAAGATGCACGTTTTCTAGCTCTCTGCCTTTCTTAAATGTCACAGGTTCACTGGAAAATGCACAGTCTGTGGATAAGCCCCTGACCGTGAATGTCCCCCAGGGCAGAATGCCTCGGTGGAGAACCCCCGTACAGCCAGACCCGGGAGCCAAGAGAACAAGGTAAGAGAGGGCAAATCAGAGGAGGGGCCAGTTCATGGCAAGATGTATCAGGACCGGTTGGTGCAAAGTACGGACAGCTGCAAGGATGTCTTATGTTTGTTTTTGTTTTTTTTAAGTAACTTTTATTTGCCTGTGTTTAAAAAAAAACAAACAAACTTCACCATCTCCTTTAAAAAAAAAAATAACCCATTGTTACTCTTCCATCATAAAACTGGGAAATCGTAGACATTACTGATTTCGAGAAGTAGAAAAGGAAAATCCCTGTGTGGTGCCACCACCCAGAGAGGCTTTAATATGTTGTATCTGTTGCAAGGTGCTTTTTCCTGTATGTTTTATGCCTATTTTCTCTTCATAAAGTAGGATCTTACTATATATCCTGTCTTCAAACCTACTTCATAGTGTATCACAAACCCTTCTGCATGTTACTAAATATTTTTCTACACAATTATTCAATGGCTATAAAGTAATCTACAGTATGATAGGATTATAATTCATTAATCATGTTATGGTTGTTGGATGTTTGGGTATTGTAGCAGCTAGGACTAAATTTAGCTGCTTGTAACCAAAAAACACAGCTTAGAATGACAGAGATCTATTTGACTCTTGAGTGAAAGAAGCCTGGGGGGTTGTGACAGCAACTACTTCATGCCTTCAGCTATCAAGGTGACTGCCAGAGCTCCGGCCATCACAGCCATAGTTCAGATGGCAGGAAGAAGAAAAGCAGAGGGTGGTGGGGACTCGTGGTGGCCTACTCTGTTCTCCTCTTATGGAGCTTCCCTGAAGCCCACTCAACTACCGGTGCTTACATCTCATTGGCCCAAACTGACTGGGTCACACGGCCACCTCCATTTGCGCGCCAGGAAAGCCGGGAAATGTCTCTCTTTCAAACCAGGTCTGTTTCCACCTCCGGAAATTGGCTCCACACCAAGGAATAAAAGAGAATGGATACGGGGGGGGGGAGGCAACAGCACTCTCCGACCCAAGGGAGTTCCAATTTTTTGCTGGTCTATAAGCCACACTATGAGAAATATCGTCGTGGCAAAATCCTGACACCCATTCCTCCTTATTTCCTTAAGTTCTTAGAAACTTCGCACCTTCTACAAATCCCTGGTTACAGGGAAGTCGTGTTCCCATATCCGTGCTGGGGAAGTACAGGATAGACGTCCTGTCGCAGAAACAGGTGGTGGGCCTTCTTTTGCTCCCTGACACGGCTTTGACCACAGGCCCTTGATTATACATATAATCATTTAAATACATAACTTAATAAAATATATATATACGGACCTATTTCACTTACACGTAATTATACAATAAAGGCAGCTGACTCCTGTTGCCTCTGTTCTGGTTTAAGAGCCAAAGGACGACACCGTAAATATCTTCCCACCCACACAGGACGCTCTACAGATGGTGGCGGAAGTCACTCTTAGCTCGTCCCTCTTGTCCAGGGGTCAGCAGGAGTGACAGTACAAATATTTCACAAGCAGCACCCAACACTGCTGTCCCCGGGGGGCAGCGGAAAGACCCTGGGAGTCGCGAAAAGGGAAAGGACTCAGGACATGGCTATTTCCCAAGCAGCACACAAATGTTTCCATATTTTCACAATCAATAAAAAAGAGGGTGAGGCTAAGGAGACTGGTTACCGGGCTTTGTTTTTGCTGGGGGATCATTGTCAGAGTTCTGGGAGCTGCCCACACCTTCCCACGGGGGTTCCCCCTTGTAGTTGCTGGGGCTCCCTGGAGAGACAGAGCCAGCAGGATGTGGAGAGAGAGGGTGGGGGACGTTCCATGTAAGGAACTGGTTCACAGTTGTGGAGGCGTGATGAGTGCAGAATCCGCTCGGTGAGTCTGGGGCCGGAGACTCAGGGAAGAGCCACAGTCGGAGTCCAGAGGAGGCCCGCCGCACAATTCCTTTTTGCTCTGTGAGGCTACTTAGTCTTTGTTCTATTAAGACCTTCGACTGCTTAGATGAGGCCCACCCACATTATGGAGGATAAACTGCTTTGCTCAAAGTCCACTGACTTAAGTGTTCATCTCAAAAGACATCTTCACAGAAACACCCAGAATGATATTTGACCAAATATCTAGGCACCATGGCCCAGCCAAGTTGACACCTGAAATCAACGATCATATCCCCCATTTTCACCCTAGTGAGGGGGGTTTCAAGAGATCTCTGTAATCGGGGGGGGGGGGGGCGGTGTGGAACACAAGGACCAGAACCTGGTTTGCTCCTGGAAACATCTAGAGATGAGCTGGCTGACGGCCTCATGGAAGGGGTGGGGAGAGGGCAGAGCAGGGAGTGAGGGGCATCTACCCCAAAGGCAAGGCAGGGGCACATGTTTTCTTGGAGCCAAGTATAGATCTCAAGGGAGGGGACCAGCCATGAATCACTTTGGAAAGGACTCCACCCAACACGGCTTCCTGCTAGGGGCCAGGTGGATCTTGGCAGAACGCAGCCGAAAGTGGCCGGCTCGAGAGCTTTGCACCCGCCAAAGAACCATGGCCAGAGACCCCCAGTGAGGTATCTCCAAGGAGCTTCCCACAAGTGCCCCACTTTGAGGGCCCAAACAGCAGCTGGGGGGGGGGGGGCGGGCAGGAGACGACAGGGCAGGAAGCAGAAGCTTCCCAGCTGTGACCTGCACTGGGAGAAGAGAGGTGTCCAGAAATAACGTTGGGGTGCACTTTTGAACACCTAGGGAAAGAGAGCATTTGTTGGTAACCCAAGAGTGACCAGAAGAGCTTTGCACGTGGTCTGCCTGAGATTTCATGCAAGGCCAAGCACAAGCAGATGGAATTGGGGATGGAGAGGAAGCCTGGGGACCCTTCTCGTTTGCACCCTCCCAAGTCCAGGGGGTCCCTGCGCTTACCTCCATCTTGTGACCTAGTGAGGACGGAGGTTCTGGGGAGCTTATGTAGGTGGATCTCAGGATCCCCACTGTGAGATTTGTTTCTATTATGTTCTCTGAACTAGATATCTGTGGCAGGGTAAGTCACAATGTATCCGCTATGGAAAAGTTTTCTAGAGGAAAACCTCCTGATGGGCCATGGGGCTCCCAGGGCTTGAGCTATTGCTTTTTTTTTTTTTTTTAAGTTTTTATTATTGATTTCTGAGAGAGACAGAGTGCGAGTGCGGGAGGGGCTGAGAGAGAGGGAGACACAGAATCCAAAACAGGCTCCAGGCTCCCAGCTGTCTGCACAGAGCCTGACGCGGGGCTTGAACCCACGAACCGCGAGATCATGACCTGAGCCGAAGTCGGACGCTTAACCGACTGAGCCACCCAGGGCCCCAAGCTATTGCTTTTAAAGGTAAAAACCAAAATGTAAGT